ACTGGCGCGGCCCTAACTAGCTGATCCCCGCTGGCGCCCCCAGACTACCGCCACCATGCTGGATCCCCCCGCCTGTGCTTCCCAGATCCTTCCAGTCCCCCAATCTTTAGCCTTCTGGTCAGGTCCGAAAGTCCCCTCAAATGCTCAGTCTGCTCAGATCCCGCTTCTCCAGCCCGGGCCCCAAACCACCCTCCCCCGCCCCCAGCAGCTTCCACCTGCGCCTTTGACACCCCCTAGCGCCCTCTTTCCTATCTCAACCTTCCCAGTCCTCGGCTCTTCCCATCCCTGGGATTCCACCCCCTTTCCCTTTTCGCCTCTATTTTGGGGGATGGGGAAGTGGGGTGGTCAAACAAGGGACAGCGGTTCCATCAGATAAAGGGCAATGGAAGGAAATATAATAGCCCCCCTTGTGGTCCCGATCTGGTTTCCCCCTTCCCTCCCCCTTGCCCTTCCTGATTCATTTTGCCCCAGCTTCAGCGAGGACTCCCCTTCGTCTGCTACTGGAGGGCAGCTGGGAGGGGACGGTCTGTGGACCTTTCCAGGCAGTGTTTTGGCCAGCACCCGAGGGAAGGGGCTCTGGAGTGAGATGGGCCCTGGGAGATGCTGCTCCACCCCTCCCGAGGGAGCCCTCATCTAGGTCACCGGGGCCTCCTGACCTTGGCCTGGAGCAGCCCTTCAGTGGCTCACATTCCACCTGCCCACGGATTGGGCCCAGGAGCCTTCACCTTCAGCCTGGCTGCTGTCCCCTCAGGTCCCGGAGGAGAGGATGGCAGGACCTGCCTCACTCCTTGCTGCCCGCTTCCCCACTCCTGGTTGGCATTTGTGGACCCAAACCCGGGGTTGGGTGTGAGAATGAAGGTCCTCACCCTGGAGGAAGGACCCTGCTGGGCGGGCACCATTCTCAGGGATGGTTGTTGGTGGTCCACCCACACCATCCTCGGGGTCCTGGGTTCTCCACCCCTCTGGGGAGCAGGCTGGGATGGGGGGTGCGGCACGGACCAGGCCAGGAGGCTGCTCTCCCTCACCATCCCACTCCTCTGGCCCTGCTGTGTTCCTGTGTCGGGTTTCCTGGCCCAGGTTGGGTTTCTGTGCGGGCTGAATTCCCATTCCCCGTTTCCTGGGACTGGGAGCACCTGGGGCAGAGGTGGGGGTCTCTGTGGGCTGTGCCTGGAGCCTGGGAGCTGAGAGCAGCAGTCCGTTTCCCCTTTCTGATTAAAGCCTGTCTCCGACTTGGTCTGTCTTTCTTTCTGCCAAACACATCACACAACCACACAGATAAACACACAGCTGAAGATTACACAACCTGACCGTTCGTGGTGTCGCCTGAGCCCTCGACGCAGAAATGTTGATACACAGCAATGTACACACAGTCCATGACACTCCTTCACACTCCGCCCCTGCAGATTGATCACAGCCTGCCAAACACACGCAGACACACCCCTTCTTCCCTTCCCTCTGCTCCTCGGATGCGACTGGGGCTTCTCGGATGCTGCTGGAGGTGGAACAGGAGCCACCAGAGGGGCTGCTTCCCGCCAAGGGGAGGCCAAGAGATGACACTTGTCAGTCAGACCTGTTCCCTGGCCCCGGTCACGGCTCTGGCACTACCAAAATGAGGCAGAGTGAGGGAGGCCACCGCCCATTTCACAGGGTTGCTAAAGCCCCTCTCTTGACATTGACCCGACCAGCCTCCCTCTCTGGGGAGAGGCAGAGGGTCAGCATGCCTGGGCCTTCCAGCCTCCCAGCGCCTACTGAGAACCCTGGGGTCCTGGGAAGGGCTCAGCTGAGGACTTAGCTCCTTGAGGAGCCAAGGCCCCTCAGGTCCCTAGCGACTACTTTTACTTGATTCCCTCTACCTGGAGGATGAGTTTGCACCTTAATTTGCTTCTTCTAGAGGTCCCAGCCATCACCCAAGCCTCGGCCTCAGCTGCATTCCAACCCTGCCTCTCCCTGGCCGCCCAGGGGCCCGCAGGGAGGAGGACTGCTCAGAGAGGCCGTTTCCGTGCCTCTAGCTGGCCTCACCCCTGACAGCAGAAGGCCTCAGAGAAACTCCCGTCCTCTCATGTGAACTCTTGGCGGAGACTGCAAAGACATCTGCTGACCCGGGGTGGAAGCAGAGACGGTTCCTAATCCCTCCCAGCCCCAGCCCTGCCCCAGAAGTCCTGTTGATCAGGGATGGAGAGTTCAGAAGATCCCTGGGCTGCCTCAGGCCGGCCCAGCCATGTAAGCCCCCCACACGCACACACACACGCACACGCACTTATTCCCCATTATTCACAAGAGCCACCTATTCTCTCCTGAGTTCTTGTACTTCAGATGCTGCTGTCTTCAGTCGGGCTAGAAAGGGAATGTGTTAGGGCGACCTGGGGCCCAGATCAGGAGCTGGGAATGTCTGTTTCCTGGGAGAGGGTCTGGGCTAGCAGGCAGCCTTACTGCATAGCGGAGGCCAAAGGGTTCAGAGGCTTCAGTGGGAGGCCTCGGATCTTCAGTGGACTGGGCTTCATGCCGTTGGGCCTCCCGCCGGTCAGCCTTGACGTAGGAGAGCTGGCTCTTCATAGTATGAGGGACCCTGATGGAGTCCAGGTTCAGGCTCCTGTTCTGCTCTTAGCTCTCGGTATGACCTCGGGCAAACCACTCCTACTTTCTGTAGAATGGGCACACTGGGCCAGCTGACCCCTCGGATCCCTTTCAGGGCTACCAAGATCAGGCTCAGCACCCTGAGATGTGCTAAGGGGTGGGAGAAGGCCCTGGCGACCTGGGTTTGACCCAGCTGCTTGGGGTGGGGGGTGAGGGACACGCTCATGCTGGACTCCCAGCTCACCTCAGCCTGCCTCCACAGATGGACCCCGTGCAGAAGGCTGTGCTCTCTCACACTTTTGGGGGACCTTTGCTCAAGACCAAGCGGCCCGTCATTTCCTGTAATGTCTGTCAGATCCGCTTCAATTCTCAGGTAAGAGGCCCAGCCACCGCCCACCTGTGGATGGGGTGGTGGCAGCCAGGGGACCCTGTGGGAGGGCGGAGGCTGGGAGTTCTGGGTGAGGGGCAGGGATTAAGGAGATATTGGGGAGGAGCAGGGAGGGAATGGGGATACTGCAGGAAGGCAGGGGCTGGTGGAAGACATTGAAGAGGGTCGAGAAGTTGCAATTTTATTTTTTTAATTTTGCCAGAGGACATACATGCTCACATGAGAGAGAAAGAGAGAAAGCAAGAAAGCACCCCCCCTGGGAACATTCACACCACAACCTCTTTATCGCTCCCTGTGTTCAGGCTTTGGGGTACACACACACGTGCCCATCTCAAGCACAGGTCTGGACTCGGACTGTGCAGCTGGCCATGTGGGGTCCAGCTACCTTAACTGCCGTGCTGTGGGCTGACCCCCCGCTTTTATTTATTTCACCAGAGAGAGACAGAGAGGGAAATGTGAGAAAGCACCCCCATGGGGTAGTCACACTGCAGTCCTTTCTCCTGTTTTCCCCTTTTTCTCAGGATTTGGGTTGCACATATGCACTGGCCATGTTTTTCAGGCTGCAGAGTCAGAGACTTCAGCTGCCTGGTCAGCCACGTGGGATCCAGGCACCTTAACCACCAGGGCATGGACTGACCCACTACAGTGTTTTTTAGGGTAGGGCCACCTTAATGCTGGGCTTCCCTAGGATTATTCATTATTTTTTTTTAAGTTTATTGATTCCATGAGCGAGAGAGAAAGAGAGCACTCACCCAGCTGGGATCCAATGCCACAGTTCTACCCCATCCCTCAGCCAGCTCTGATCATGGGCAAGCACGTGCCCAGAGTACTCCAGGTTTCCAAATGCGAACCAGGAACCTTCCATTTGGGGGTGCTTCACAGAGCATCCCATTTTCCTGCTGGGTCCCCATCCTGGCTCCAGTTGCTGTGTATTTTGACATGAAGTCGAGGGAGTCCTCTAGGCTGACACCTCCCTTCCTTGGGACCTTGGGCCTCCCTCGTGCAGAACTTCTTGGAACACAGGTGCCATCAGCGTCTGGATGGGAGTGTGGTCTCTGCCCAGTGGTCCTTGGCTTAGGGCTGAGTTAGGTCCTCTGGCTCCCCCGTAGAACCTGTGTCCTCTATGGTCTCTGCTAAACTCTTCCCCTGGCTCACTCACTTCCTTCTAACCTCCTTCCTCTCTCCACTCTATTTTTACCCGCCTTTCTCCAAATCACACACAAGGCCTGGTTCCATTCCCATCCCATGGGGCCTTCCCATGGGGAGAAGCCACCTAAAACCCAGAAGCCAGGTGTCCAGCCTCCCGGATTTTCTTCCTCTGAGGCTCTGTTGGGACATCTGTGTGAGTCCAGAGGGGACTCTGTGGGGTGCAGACTCTGAGAGATTTTGGAGAAAAACAGCAGAGCCTCATTCTGCTGACTAGGGGAAAGTAAAAGCATGTTCTGTTTCTCTACCCAGTATCACACTCACACGCACGTGTGCACACGCACCCATGCTGCTGGGCTCTGCACACCGCTGCTCTGCTCCTGGGCTGTCAATCTTCTTTCCTTGCCTATCTGCATCTTCTATTTCCACCCTTGTCTAGGTGACCTTGTGCCTGCAGGACTGACCATTCTTAGCTGGGGGTGCACATGGCAGTGAAGCTGGGGGTGGGAGGTGGAGCCAGGATTAACCCAGCATTAGGCTTCTCCTTTCACTTGGACCCCAGGCACCTTTCTACCAACCCCGGCTCCACTCACTGGTGGAGGGTGGAGGGCTGGAGAGGCAGGAGCCAATAGCAGGCAGCCCTCCCCTCTCTTAGCCCTCCCTTCCCCTCCCCCATCAAGTGACTCTGTTTTGACAGCTGTCTCTGCTGCTGTCTCTGTCTCCAGAGCTGGGCTTAAGGCCAGGGTCCTCCAGGGTGTCCACAGAGGCTTCAGGGAAAATGAGACCCAGGGACTAGACATGATAGAGCCCAGACATTAGAGATCCTGGGACTCCCAGCAAGGCTGAAAGCAGCAAAGGATGGGTCCTGGGCCACTTAAGTGCTGGAGTCTACAAGGCCAGCCAGTCTGCAACTGGCTGGATTGCTAGGACCCTCCTGGTCTAGCATTCTACCACAGGTTTGGGGTCTCCCTCCCTCCGCCCCAGAGCTAGGTGGAGAGCTTGAGTCAGCAGGCAGGCCTGGGTGTGGCAGTGGAGTGGAGTCTGGATTGGGTGGGGATCCAGATTCCCAGAGACTTGAGTTTGAGAAGCTAGTCTGAGCCGCAGGGATAACCAGGACTTATTGACATGGGGCTCGGCATCTCACTGACGTAGGGACAGAGTCCCTGCCACCTGCCGCGACC